TCTATTGATTTCAAAGAATCTGTTCTAAGTATGGCTAAGTCCAGCTCTAATCCTCTTTCCCCAAAGGGTTCAAAATCAGTTAAACTATATTCATATTAATGTGTCTACATTAGTAAGTTTAAGCCTGACCCTCTGTATCTAATTCCTTACAAACTACCTTAGTTTTACAGCTGAGGGAGTGATCTACAGTGTCAAAAGGAATCCATCATAATCTTTCCTGGGCAGATGACTACCATCCTGATTCACTGAGCTGCTGAATTCATGGAGTTCCCCCCTCTTCCTGTCAAAGAGCTAGTTTTTAGTATCTATATTTCTTTACTTCTTCTGCCAAAAGGAATGAATCTAATGGATCTCTAGAGCCAGGCCCATATCTTTGATATCAGAAAGACAATGTTCCTTGCTTGCATCAAACAGGAATGATCAAATGAGTGTTTGGTTTAAAAAAAAACACACACTTCTCTTTGGCATATGTGTTAATTGTTCTGATCTGGCCAATATGAATGGCTGTCTTGCCACATGTCTTAATGTAGACTGTATTTGCACAGCATAATTAAACTCAAAGGAATCAAACTTTTGATTTTACTTAGCACCAACTGACATCAAAAAGATAATGAGCAACCCATGGTGTGTGCATGAGAGGCTCCTGATGATGTATTTATGAAAGAAAATGTTTGAAAAGTTATGCACTGGACAACAAACTAGGTATTAGTGGATACCTCCCCCCACTGCCAAATTATTTGAAATTGTCAATTAATATTGCTCCATTGTGTTTCTAAGTTGCTACAACCATGTACCACTCTACAAGCAATATAAGGCATTGTGCTAGATAAGATGTGGCTCTAGTCTAGGTATTATATATAGGCAATACATGCAAAGACCTTAGCTGTGCAATTTAAAAAACCCTACAACACTAAACTTTTTCTGCAGCCCAAACTTTTAGAGACAATTTGATAGTTTCTGAGTAGAGTGAAGCTATATTTTTAATGTACTATATGATTTATTTACTTAAACATTTATGAATTGCCTTTTTGCCTGAAAGGGTTCCCAAGGCAATATACAACTCAAATATAGTAAAGTTTACTTTGTGAAATGCACAATGTTGCTTTCCAAACAATACTTGAAGACAATGCTCGAAGATGGGTAATTTACATCTCTTCGTATGTGGTGGAAGGAACTCCCATCTTTTCACTAATACAGCCAACAATTAGAGATGATGGGAGTTAGATTGTACCCACAATTGAAAGGTTGCATTTTCAGCACCTCAGCTTTTGTATCATCAAATTTAGTACAGTCTCCAGGATTCAACAAAGGCATTATCCAACCCAGACTTTTGTTTTAAAAATCTGGATCACATGGTTACTTTGTGTGTTTTCTTAAATTTCACTTAGCTCATAGCATTCTGTTTCAAGAGAAGGATTGGCAAGCATGTACCAGGTAGACTTTAAGTGTAGAGATTCTTGGCTCCGCAAAGAACTAGAATAGATGATTGATGATGAGGATTTAATGGATATGTATGTGAGTTCTGTAGAACCTGTGACACTCTACCCCTTCCCCTAGGTATGGCAGTCTACTATGGAACATATGTCAGAATATTAACAGCAACAATAATGGTATACTTTCATCTGCTCTGTAGGAGAGATGAACAATTTCTGGAAATTTAAAACCACTAGGGCAAAATGGGATTTCCCAGGGGGAAAAAACAAAACAAAACAGAAATTTGGGAGAAAGGGAAAAATGTAGTATTTCTTTTTTTTTAATGCTGTGTACAGAATTAAAGATATTTTGTTACTTTGGAACATAAAATGTAATGGCAGAATTTTTATATTCAATATAAAAGGATACTTTATTCAGTCATTAATTTCAAAGTGATTGTTAAATGCTTGAAATATCTGCTGCAACTGGCACTACAAGCTGTTGAACTATATGAAATACAGCATATTTTAGTTTTTGCCATTTTCTGGGTAGTAGGCAAAAGAATAAAAATGAAATCAGAGAACAAAACAGCATTCTCTTATGTAAATTACACTGGCATAAGGGAAACTGTGTAAACTGCAAGTGATAGATTGCCATTTATTAGAGCCTCGTGGCGCAGTAGTTAAACTGCTGTACTGCAGCCAAAACTGTGCTCACTACCTGGGGTTCAATCCCAGGTAGCCAGCTCAAGGTTGACTCAGCCTTCTGTCCTTCCAAGGTTAGTAAAATCAGTACCCAGATCGCAAGGGGAGGGGAATGTGTGGCCTGCACAATTAACTTGTAAACTGCCTAGAGAATGCTTGAAGCACCATTGGGCGGTATATAAGCAGCATGCTTTGCTTTGCATGCTTTTAATTAAAGAGTTCCTTGCTTTTATTCCTTGTTCTATAAACTTAATGTCATTATGTATGAGTCGGGTAGCTTGGTGCATGACCCAGAATCAAGGCAGGGACTCTTTCATCAGCAGCAGTCTAATATACGCAAGAATTCAAAAGGGATAATATATTTTGGCCACCCAACTTACATGCAATGAGCTGAAGTTCAAGCAATGAAGAATCAAGATAGGAAACTCTTTAATTAGCAGCAATCTGTCACTGCCATTGATGCCACTCTTCTTACACCGGGATAACACACAAAAAGAAGATGTTGACCTATATGTTTTGAATTCTCATCCATGGCATCCAGCAGAAACAGAAAGGACTCATTAAAAAGCAAAAAGCTGACAAAAATTAGGAGTCCCCTAACTTCCTTTTGAATGCTAGTTTAAAGATTTGAAACTTGTTCCAAACAGCGCCCTTCTCTCTTTTTGGGCTCTCACTATCAGGATCAGCAGTTTTTGCTCCTGAATTTCTGAAAACAGAAGCCAGAATCCTACTGGTGTCTACATAAGTGTTGTGCAACTTGCTTCAGCTAATTGAGGTGAACTGACAAGATGCCAGGGTGCATCTGCCATGGGGTTGGTCTCAATCCCAACTACACTATTTAGATATGCCCCAGCATGTTGTCAGTTAATCACAACTAGCTGTGGCAAGTTAGGCAAATCTTAGGGAAACACCAGTAAGATTCTCTCCATAGACTATGACAAACTTCTCTATCCTTTTGCATGCCAGTCCATTTGTTGATTTGGTGTGTTGCCCAATACCGACCGATTTTATTCTTATGCTTCTAAAAGACAGTGACTTCCGAGGTAGGTGAGAAGCAAGAGGAGCAAGGCTGCATTGTGCAAAAGTCCTGCCTCCTCGCTTCAGGGAGAAGGTCAAATGCCTTATTTGGCAACATTGGAAAGTTTCTTTAAAAAAAAAGAGCAAGTCCTTTGAAATCATTCTTGCAAGTAATGGCCAAATACTTGGACATAATTTGTTTAAAATTATATTCAACATTTTAAATTACAGTCCTTCAAAAACCATTTTCTCCATTTTGTTTCCAGCTCACATAAAGCAAAGCAAAATGTAAAAAAAACAGCCCTGGGAAGAAATGGGAATAAAGACTCTTTGCTCCCTCCAACGTTCCCCCTCCCCCGTTTCTTCCCACTAGCCCTTCATACTGCTCTGCCAATGTCAGCTGCAAAGAACAAGCGGGGTGTTTCACAGACCACAAAGCAGGGCTGATAGGCTGAATTTGGTTTGGAGATCTACATGTGGGCAGGCTGGCCCTCAGGGTTACTTCAGGATGGATTCTGACCCTGATGAATCTTTTGTTAAGGACACTAAACTCTACGCTGAATGCACAAGTGTCCATTTGGACATTTGTGTACAGTAATAAGTCACATTAAACTGACAGCAAAAAAGATATGCATGTGTACGAAATTGTGTGCATGTGGGAGCACACAAATTAAATTTTGTTCATGAGTAAACAGGCAATCCAAAAACTTGTGTGGACTCTTCTCATGGGAGGATAAACATCTTCAGTGTGAATGAAAGGATCCCTCATGTGAGAGATAAAATAGATCACACTGAAGATAATAACCTTCTAAGCGCGAACCAGACTGCTCAAAATCCCCCTATATGGACAGGCTCATGGTCTCCTAGATGAGAATGATATTTATTCAAGATATTCTTTGGAATTCTCGTTGCCCTTTAGTTGGACTAGACTCCATGGTTACCAGATTTTACAAAAGTCTGATATTTGTGGTTTGTTGATACCAATGTAAACCACAGAATCTATTGTGTGTTGAGCTCCTTGAACAAATGGGCTCCTTGTACAAAAGCTACTTTAATAGGAAAAGGTGGGACATGACTGGAAATTTTGACATTTCACTTCAGAGGTTTATATACTGTATATGAGTGGGAGAGAGATATTCATTGTTAGAATATCTTATTTATTTATGTTTAGGAGCTCACTGTTATGTTTGATAGTTTCCTATGGTCAATAAGATTTTGATTTTCCATATTATGATCCAGTCTGAAATTCCTTAATAAGGGGGTAAACATTAAGGAGTACTTTACTCTTGATGGGTGTTAACAAACTAATCACTACCTCTTATTTGTCATCTGATTAGATTGCCCTGATCTCTCATTAATTTGAGGGCCTCTGGCCCAACATGCATTTAATTTTCTGGCATTATTCTTATAATATATGCACTGAATTAAATCACAGATAAGTGCAGCGATGTGTGAATCATCAATTTGGTTATACAAAACATTCAGTGGAACTTCACAGTGGTGCTTCCAGAGCTGTATAAGCAGGATATCTACTGTTTTTATCTTTGTCTTGGCATTCACATGATTTCCTAGGAATAATAGTACTTGAACAATTAATATCAGAATTAATGCAATCAACAAGTATATATATTTATATAGTCCTTAGCCAGGGCAATCATAGCCACATGTCATTCTTTTTCAGTTATTCAAACTTGAGGATCATGATTCAAAAGAGACACATGTAAGGTGCACAGATCTCCTCCATGGACAAAGCTCCTTTTGGCTCAGTTGCTAAGAAGAAGGAAAATGGCGGAAATGGCCTGCTTATTTACTAGACCGTCTGAAAAAAGGCAGAGAAGGAAATGCCAGAATTAGAATGAAACTGACCTATGCATACATTTTCATCGTCCAGCTTTGCAGAAGCATTTCTGTAGTAGCCCAGCCTGCACAACTCACAGTGCTGCCCTCTAGTGTTGTGTTTACAGCTCACGCAAATGAATGTACTGAGCACATCGATGTAACTGCACCGGTTGGAGTGGCCGAAGCATTCACAGTCTTGCAAGGAAGAACAAAAATGTACACAAAGGGTATTCTGTAGCAGAGTCATAGCAATTCACATGCTCTTTTTTCCCTCTAAATATGAAGCATGAACAGATTATGAATGAGAAGCAGCACAGCATGTCTAGTAACGTTACGGCAGCATACATGGACAACAACAGATGTTTGACTGCTATGAAGGTGGTGTCTCTTTTCAGGCAGGTTAAAACAGTTAGACATCCATCACATAGCACTGAGGGTAGCTTTATAGTCAAGAGGTCTTATGGAACAGAAGCATGTGCAGTTGTAAACCTTTCATTGGTTTGCAGGTATGTGTCCAGTTGTGCATTTCACAGAGTGCAGTGGGGCTCTCCTTTCAAAACAAATCCAGATGCACTCACTAGACACTGAAAATTTTTCCTGGACAATGTCATGTGTTTTATGTCCACCATGATGGGGCATATTTTGGATGAGATATTCCACTTCCCAAAACAATAAGGGCATGTTAATTGGCCCAGTTTTATGAGATGAGGCTCAGGAGGCTTCTTGGGCCAGAGTGCCTTCCGCTAACCATTTTTAGCAATGAACCCCTTCTAGATGAGAGACAGCAGGATCCCAAGCCATCCACAGTTCACCTTAGATTCCTACCATGGCTGGGGTTATGTTCAATTCATGCTGTGTAAATGAGTACTTGTGCAAGCAAATCTATCTGCATTGCTAGCCAGCCATCATGGTGCTCTGCTTCCTTCTGTCAGGGAAGTAGTCACATGTCCACCAGCATGTGCAACTGCACAATGGAAGGCAAGCAAAGAGGGGAAAAACACTGCCTGACTGCCCTTATCACCCCTCGCCCCAGTTTTCCCCCACTAAAATTTTGGCCATTGAGTTTTATGTGGGGCTACCTTTGAAGAGTTTCTGGAAATCTTAGATAATTCAAACTATATACCATCTAGAATACTATTTTGGACCAGGCATTCAGTTTGTATCTTGTCCACACTTAAATAGTTGCACTGGATCTGTGCATCAAGTTATTCGTTATGGATACCATCTCCTTAGAAGTTGAATCATGTTACGTGCTCCAAATCCTTCATTCTGGTACACTTTTGTGTCTGGGAATCCATACTTGCAAATGGAGCCCATGTCTACTGCCCAATGAGCAATAACAAAGCAAAGAAAACTAATTGACTATGGGAGATACGCAAAGCTCATGCAGTGATGATCAGACAACTACTGGAATTACTTATAATACACAGTTTGACCTCCACTTTATTTTGAGCCTTAATTCAACTCATAGCAGCCGTATAAAATAAGAGCCATATAATACTTGGGAAAAAGGTACCTGAAAGATCACTACCATTAAGACAATCATGAGAAAGGTGGGTGAAAATGGGAATATGTACAGACCTTGAGAGAATTGTTTGGTACCTACTACAGTGTTTTGAGAGAACAGATGAGCTTCTTTTAATTTTTTTTCTGGTGCTAAATAGTTTTTTTTCATTCCTGTTGATTTTGGTTTTATAATGTTTTCATCCAATGATGTTTCTTAAATTTGTGTTTTCTATCTTTATTGGTTCTATTCCATTCTTAAAATATGGTTTATTATTGCCCTAGAGCAAAGAAGTAGTAGGATTTTTTTAAAAAAAGTTTTAAATAATGAACAAATGTGGGATATGATTTAGGATGTTCTTTAGTACAGTGGTCCCCAACCTTGGGCCTCCAGATGTTTTTAGACTACAACTCCCGGAAGCCTTCACCACCACCTCTGCTGGCCAGGATTTCTGGGAGTTGAAGTCCAAGAACATCTGGAGACCCAAGGTTGGGGACCACTGCTTTAGTACATAAGGTTCCCATCACATGTCCACACTGGCTGTTCTCACAAAATTTCCCATAATAAATAAGGTGGATCAATCAAGAGTAAATTCACTGAAAAGACCTGTCATATTCAGTTAACGCTTTATATACATGCAGCTATCTGGGTTAGTTAATTTTAATCTTGGAGTACCTTGGGGATGCTTTCCTCCAACAAACCAAGTTCCTAATGCTTGAAAGTAAACTTACAACTTGGGAATTGGCTTAGCTATGGTGGGCTATGGTGAAATCAAAGATTATGGATGCAATTAATCAGAGAAGCATGGTCAACTGCTAGCAGGATAAGGCATTCAAATAATAGTTTTATCATCTCTTGCTAACCAACACCCCCCCCAAAAAACCCCCGCAGATAACTGCCTACGTATATTTAAATGAAATGTTCAGGAAACAATATGATCATGGATGCTCTGTACTGTAAATTCATAGTTTGAGCCATGAGTCTCAGATAATACTTGTTGCTTAGTCGTTAAGTCGTGTCTGACTCTTTGTGACCCCATAGACCAGAGCACACCAAGTCCTCCTGTCTTTCACTGCCTCCCGGAGTTTGGTAAAATTCATGTTGGTAGCTTCAATGACACTGTCCAACCATCTCGTCCTCTGTTGTCCCCTTCTGCTCTTGCCTTCGCATTTTCCCAACATCAGGGTCTTTTCCAGGGAGTCTTCTCTTCTCATGAGATGGCCAAAGTATTGAAGCCTCAGCTTCAGGATCTGTCTTTCCAATAAGTTCTCAGGGTTGATTTACTTCAGAATAGATACATCTGATTTCCTTGCAGTCAAGGGGACTCTCAAGATTCTCCTCCAGCACCATAATTCAAAAGTATCAATTCTTTGGCGGTCAGCCTTCTTCATGGTCCAGCTCTCGCTTCCATACATTACTACTGGAAAAACCATAGCTTTGACTATGCGGACCTTTGTCGGCAAGGTGACGTCTCTTAAGATGCTGTCTAGGTTTGTCATTGCTTTCCTCCCAAGAAGCAGGCGTCTTTTAATTTCATGGCTGCTCTTGCCATCTGCAGTGATCATGGAGCCCAAGAAAGTAAAATCTGTCCCTGCCTCCATATCTTCCCCTTCTATTTGCCAGGAGGTGATGGGACCAGTGGCCCTGATCTTAGTTTTTCTGATGTTGAGCTTCAGGCTATTTTTTGTGCTCTCCTCTTTCACCCTCATTAAGAGGTTCTTTAATTCCTCCTCACTTTCTGCCATCAGAGTGGTATCATCTGCATATCGGAGGTTGTTGATATTTCTTCTGGCAATCTTGATTCCGGCTTGGGATACATCCAGTCCAGCCTTTCACATGATGTATTCTGCATATAAGTTAAATAAGCAGGGAGACAATACACAGCCTTGTCATACTCCTTTCCCAATTTTGAAGCAATCTGTTGTTCCATATCCAGTTCTAACTGTTGCTTCCTTTCCCACATATAGATTTGTCAGGAGATAGACGTAAGGTGGTCAGGCACTCCCATTTCTTTAAGAACTTGCCATAGATTGCTGTGGTCCACACAGTCAAAGGTTTTTGTGTAATCAATGAAGCAGAAGTAGATGTTTTTCTGGAACCCTCTGGCTTTCTCCATAATCCAGTGCATGTTAGCAATTTGGTCTCTAGTTCCTCTGCCCCTTCAAAATCCAGCTTGTACTTCTGGGAGTTTTCG